AGGTCATTAATGCCACCCTTCTAGCGTAGCTGTCATGTAGTGTTACTCACAATAAGAAGATACTTCTTTCAAGCACTTATTCATTGGCTCTTGGCGCCTCACGTACCATAAAGCCGCCACAGCCGGAAGAATAATGACCTGAACGATAAGAAAGACATGAAATAGTCTCTTAACAGTTTGAAAACGGCCTTTTCGATGGATCGAAAACGTGTCTACGTCTTCGTCATCATTGCACTCTCTATCCAAAGGGGCGTATTTCGCCTTCGACTTCTGGATAGAACTTTGAAACCAGTTAAAGAACATTGTAAGATATGTCTAGAAATGATCTTTAAAGGCATTCAAACTCACTGGTGTTCGGCTTGTGTGAAGAATGAATACCTGGAGGGTTTACCTGTAGGCGTTACTAGTTTGGCAACTAGCGGCATTCACTCCGCGCCTGATTTATATGAATGCCGCTCTGACTCGTATCAGACCAAGCTACCTCTAAGGCGACGAGTACTTTGCACTCTTCGCGTGAAGTAATCACTGGCGATATTTGAGTTGTCTACCACACTCAGGCGTTAACCTTAGTGAATATGGTGGCCACGGATTAACCTCTGAGTATGATACTTTGGTATGCTTGACTTCCTGGGGCGTCGATGTTAAGCTTTCTTGGTTGTGGTTGGTAGTGTGGTACCACGCAGAAATGAAACCCTCTATCGGGCACATTCGGTTCAAGCTGCCACCACCAGCTCAGCAGTGATATTCCTAGATCCTCGTGAAGTCTAGGCATGTTCTGACCACTGAGCGTCACAACTGTCAGTGGGGGTGGTACGATATATCCTTTCACGATCTAGCAAGAATTCAATGCTGTGGTACTTACCCCTGACATAGTAATATGCAGCTACATGATCAGTGATAACTAGAGGTGCTATGCTCGTTGAGAGGGGTAACTTTAGTATCGACCCAACGACGCATTGCATAATATGCGCAGAACTTGACCTAAGCTTTTGTTAATTAAGCTTTAATCTCCGCGGGATATACGTCGAAGCTGCAGAGGAATCGCCGAATGGAGACTCTGAAAGAACTTTGTAACTCAGCTATTCTGTCTTGGAATTATGATGTGTAAGTTGAATTCAGCGACTACGCAATACTGAATCAGCATTAGCCATCCCAGCTTCTAGATATTCAAACAGCGCCTGGATATCTTAACTATACGACGCCCAATACTGGAGCAATTGGTGTTGCATGAGAATCTGTAGAGCAAGTGATCATGAACATTGTGACAGCCCGCTAAGAAACCCAATGAGCGTTTGTAAAAAGCATACCGCGGGCTCGTGAATTTAAATTGGCCCGTGGTCATTACACGAGGAAGAGCCCTGCGGTGATATCGCGGCGTGGTGGACTGACGCGTACACTTCCTATTCAATAATCGGTACCGGCCATTCCATCCTTATCTTCCAGTCAACGGATGTCAAAGAAACTTTAAGAGCCGCAGCGCGTTGGCATCGGCAATTATCGCTTCGCACATCCACTTAAGCTGCCGAGCAATAGCTCGGAATTGCTCTGGTCCAATTCCCCTGTTGACGATTGGCACATTGCCGGATAGCCGAGATAGTTCCAGCTTGCATTAGACAGTGCTGTCCACAAATTAGAGCTAGCAAGTACTCCTTCCAGAAATCTGTCGGAGGACGCGAGTGGATTTTGGTTTTGGTAACATCTGAAACAATTAACTATAAAGCTTGAATTGAACAGGGAAGGCTTCTGCTCTGCTGACGCTCGGGGGACTACCGCAGTTGTTTCGACAGAGATTTTCGGTCGCTCGATGCCGGGTATCTCTGATTTCAAGACCTACCGACCGTCTGGGTGAAGCAAAGACTCACTGTTCCACTCGTTAATCAACATCCTCTAGAAGTAAGCTCGACCTGGCGAAGTAGGTGGCACCTCAGGAACGATACCCCGCATTCCTAGTGAGCTTCGAGTACATACCGACCACTAAGCGTCATAGCACAGTCAGTTGAAGTGGCGGAATGTTTTCTTCCACTACCTGAAAAGAAAGTTATATTCACCCATAATTAACACCACAGTCAACAAATGGTGATTACTTGCTATGATGAGCAAGCTATACCTAGCTCTAGCCAGGCTAAGTCAATCAAAGCTGGGCGCTCTAGTGCCGAAACTAAGCTCTTTCAGTGAGTTCGAGTATGCATGTTCCTTGAACTATTCAGTAACCGAATAGACTGGGATTGCGTGCAAGTAATGTGATAGCCAAGCAGGGCGCTGTCGGCCTGATGCCTCATCCCCCGGTCCTGTGCGACATGCCCGCCCCTGACTGATTAAACACAACTGCAATTCCTCTTTGAAATCGCTTAGTGATGTTCTTACTGCATGAAGGTAGCTCCGGCGTCGACGACTTCTGATGCAATCGCAACATAAGTCGAAAGTGTTCTAAATATACTACATCACTATTTCTACCAATATTTCTTCACAGTTTACCGGAGAGGGAAATACTATATTTTATAATGTCTCGGCTAAGGGCAGTAAGGGGAAGTACCTTAGAAGAGACAGTTGTGCACGTAACCGGGCCTACTTTTCTCTCTCTTTACCCTTTCCTACACACATACATATAGGCAGGCAGGGTCGGCTTACCGTAGGTACAAATAGCCTTATTAATAGTATACCTAGCACTTAATTTATTTAGAGAATGTTAGAGATTGAACTCGGTATACGGCTTTATTATGTTTATAAGAAGATATTCTGAAAAAATAGTGTTCTTTGGCGATATACAGCACCTGTTATAATGATTTAAAAAAGGTGATGATGTTGATCAAGGAGGAAGAATGCGGCATTTTTGGGTCGTCCAAATGTAGGGGTTATTTAGAAGTGGGGTATGGTACCAACACAAGCCTATTAAGCCGGTCAGGCTAAAGACCAGGCTTCCACCATCGTGTGTAGACGAATTGCATGCCTTGCGGGTATTTTCAGCGACCTGCTGCAGTGTGATAGATCGTCTCAAAATGCATCTTCCTTCTTGCAAAGGGGTGTGTAAGATCAGGCTGGCTGTCGCCGATGGTAGCCGTCCCCAGATGGCACTCCATATCTTGAGCCAGGCCATAAACATCATATGAAACCGAACAACGAGATAGAATCGTCCAACTGATCCATGGACATCAATTTTGAGAAGAATCAAAAATAAGATTCTGACGGCCTACAAGCATTACAAATTGAATTACAAACTCATATACCGGCATTGCAAAATGCCCTCCTTCTCCGAACTGCTTGCTTTTGCGAGCACCTTGCCGCAGGCCTGGAATACGTCCGAAACCCCTCATGGCGACCATAGCTTCTGCAATTCTCAGGTCGGTCTAGGAGCTTGGTGGATATATCTCACCGCAAGCCTGTTGATTCCACTGACTATCTGGAACTTCGGCCTCCTTCGAAAAGGGCGACTAGGCAAGTATTGGAATCTTCACATGTGCGTATATTACCAAAATCAAACGCAGAACTTCTTTTCGTAAATGCTAATATTAGGAAGACCAGCTATAAGATCAACGGGTCCTGAAGGATTGGGAAAACCACTTCATGGCCACACGAGCCCTGTAGACTCTTCGTCCCTGGAATTTGAAGTCTTGAGATCCGCCCAATCTTTCTGTTTCGTTCCCGCACGCGAAAGCACATCACTATCACTGAGCGGAGACCGGAAACATGAAAAAATCTTCCTTGTGCAGTGGATGGAGGGTAAATCGACGCTTCCTGTTTCGCAGTCCGATACTCATGGACTAGTCATTCCCTGTGTCTCGACTAGCGATATTCTTCCCGCCGGATTTAACCAACATACAACGCCAGATGCCCTTTCAGTGGCAGTCCATCATCTACATGCGACGCGAATCCATGATCAAAAGCCCCCTGTTGTTGCACTTCGACTTACAGAACGTGATGAATCCGAGACCATCAACAAGGTCGTCCCAAAGCTCTTGGAACTGGGAACACGTATTCTCATCATTATGCATCACGATTCGAGGCACACCTCCAGTGTTTCCCTTGAAAACGTGGTGGGGGTCATACTCGAGAACGTTTGCGTACTCCCTGATGGAGAACCACGCGACTACTTTCGGAGCTCGGCCTCACGACGCGTCGCCGCGAGGTGCGCACAAGAACGCGCAAGGAGGCCTGGGTCATTCTTCTTCTACGGGTTTCTAGATCTCTGGCACAAGCAGCCACGCGTGTCGGTGATCAAGCGCGCCGCGAAGCTGGCAAAACATTTCAGAGCCGCTTACGAACAGGGACCCGAAAACCCTGGGGAGAGAGAGGGTGAGCGTGGGTTCCCCAGCGCCTTTACGAGTCTTGGTGGTCTTGACTTTCTGCGGCAAGCCACAACCACCAATCTTCACCACAAGTGGTGTGTAGATTCTCTCGACGTCTCGGTGTCTGGCAGACCGACTTCCCGCAGGACTGTCTCGGACTGGGCCCCGATGGCAGAAGTTGAACAGGTGCTTCCAAGAGTAAAAGTGTTGATCTGCTCTGAGGCCTCTGCTACCGAAAGCCGGTGCAGTAACAGCGATCAGTTTGCTACTATTACCACAGCGCCAAAGCATCGTCCTGAACCTTTGACGGCAATCGCAAACTTCTGGGAAGAATTTGGTGAGAGAACATCCGAGTCATCATACGGATGTTTCCCCATCACTTCTACTCCTTCTCAAGCACAATACGATACTGTTGTGCAAACTCAGGTGCACCTCAAGAAGCTTAATCTTCTAGAGACAGTCGAGGAACGCACGTATCAAAGCATCCGAGAACAACTTCTGTGCTTGAGCGGGACGGGTCGCCCTTCTGGAGACTTGGTATATGCACTTCTCAAAAGTATTACGGACGAGCCTCGGGTCACAATCTATAAAAGTCTCGGCACAGGAATGCGCGCACGCAGCGAAGAAAATGGATTCTGGGGTGTCAGCCACTCCTGAAATGAGGATGACTCGGGCTGCGCTGACATCTTCCTGTCGCTCAAGATACCGGAAGGCTGCATGGCTGCAGTCGTCCTCCATACATGGCTTGCGCATCACGGGGTTTCCAGGGCTGAGCGATACGACCTCGAGCTCGACTTGCAGCATGCAACGTCCAACAAGACTGAAAGCCGGAAAACCGTCCCTCTCAGCATCGCAGCGGCTTTGAATCAGGCGACGGCTTCAGAGCTGCTCCGCCTGTGCCAGAGGGCTCATACCGCATCTCTCAACGACCCGATAACGGCGGCTATCGGCGCCCGCTGTAAGCAATTGCTCTTGGACAAGACGGCAAGGTCAACATGGTGTCGTGAGCATTCCATGGCCTGCCTTGATGGCTCTTCAAGCACGCAGGATCTACTTCGAAGACGTCATGAGCATTTTGCCCAAATAGGTGCAGCTTCTCTACCGGCCTGGGATGATATTCTTGCTCTGCTCGGCGACTTTGAGGTCCTCGTTCAGAATGCGCTCATCGATGGCAACAAGACGGTGTTGACGACTATTGTGGAGGCATTGGACCAAGCCTTCTTTCGGTCATCTGAGTTTGACGAGTGGCGCACCGATATGGCCACTGATTTGCTCTGCTTGATGTTCTTCACTGTGTTACGTAGGGAGGCATTCGACGACGTCTATCTCGAAGTTACGGATCGTTGTCCATACCTTCTACCCCAACCTGACCAAGCAGCTGTCTTCGCCGAGATTTGGGTCCTCGGATCTCAATGCGAGGCATACTTTGGTGTCACACCCCTCGAACTTGGCCGGGCCATTTACGACAGATATCAGGCCCACCTTTCCTGCTACCCCCCTCACACGACCGATGATCAGATAGGGCCACGTCTCGGGCTGATGACAATGTACCCTGACATCACTGCGACAAAGATCAACGCTGAGGCTGGAGCTACCACAGTTCCTCAAGGGTCTTACGGCTCTCGCCACAACAAAACGATCCCGTCTCGCAAGTCCGTGTCTTTGCAGAAGAAGCACGTCTTCGATTTTGGAGTCGTAACAAGCCTCCACCTGCCTGCCATTCTGGATACAGCCCTAATGTCCTTGTGGGATCGTGGTATTTTCACCTCGGGTATCGTTAACCCCGAATACATGGCAGTTATCGGATATGCTGTGTTCATATCCTTTCTCGTCTCGGCCGCCGTGGCGGGATACGCCGCAAGGACCGCCCACTTTTACATGCTTGACTGCGCCTACGAGAACATCATATATTCCCACGTCCAGTCCTTTTCTGGTGGCTGCGCTGTTGCGCTAGCTGTAGCTGCCGCTGGGATTGCCTTTTTCACCGTGTCGCAATCCCTCGCTACCGGTCTCGTATTTGCCGGGTACATTGTTGCGTTATCTGCTGCTCTGTCCCTTGCCGGGATCATGGCGACAATGCATCAAACTGGCAGCCCGCTCCCATCGGGGCGAAAGGTTCTGTGGCGGACAGCCCAGGTGCTGTTAGCCGCGCCTATTCTATCCGTATACTTTGACGGCCACGACTTGCTCATTTACCTATCGACATCATACGTGTTTCTCTTCCTCCTCCTCGCCCAGTATCGTCGGCTCTGTCGGGAGTGGACGGCTTGGCTTCCTCGGATCCTCGAGTTCTCCAAAGAAGACATCGATCTCTGGTATTCATCTAGAATCGTGAAATCGGCAGAAAGCAGCGGTCTCATAGGAACAGATGTCGCAGCGGACGAAGACCTGTCCCGGACCGCATCCGCATCCGCAGCTGAGAGACTGTTCCGAGAGGAGGTGGATGCTTGGACCCACGGCTCCAACCGCCGTCCCTCGGGCGACAAAAGCAATGACCCCAGGTCTCTTGTTGAGAGGGTTGGCAATGCCATGCCATACATCGAATGGCTTTTAGCCCCGAAGTTCCCCAGAGTAGACGCGCCGCTCATATTTAGTGCCGCCTGGTTTCGGGAACTAGACCACGTCCTGCAGACGCCGCGTCAAGTGCGTAACTGCCTCAAAGAACATAATGCCGTGGTACTGCTACGACTTGCAAACCACGATATCATTTCCAATGTGGCATTCGTCTTCATGGCTCTGATGTACCGTTGGACCGCTCTGTTCATGCAGGGGCGTTTTCCACATGTCGATGCGGGCTCGGACTTGCCCTCCCGTCTGAGCCTGTGCTTCAGCCTGTTGTATTGCGGCGCTTCAGTAGTGACTCTGGATGAAGAGTTGCAAGAATCATGGTTCTGTCAAAACGAAAATTCCCTGGAGAAGTTGACCGGGCTTGAGCTAGCCAAGGAGGCAAGCAAAGAACTGTTCAAACGGAAGCGACAAACATACAGCAAAAGTCTTACTCGCATCGTTCTCCGAATGGCATGCACGTTCGTCTGTTTGATTACGATTTTGCATATTACAACAGGCGACAGAGGCAGCCTCTATGAATTCGCTTGTTACAGCTTTGGCTACACAAATGCTGCCATCTTTCTTTTCAATGCCGGCTTTACCAAGAACATGAGCAACTGCACCCTTCTTGTTCCTGTATTAGCAATCTTCGGCTTATTTATCGGACTTCTTCAGCGTAAAATACCGCGGGAAGAAGTTTACGTGGAAACGGACGTGATTATGTTCAACATCACCGTTGTCACGGCAGCCGTTTCAACGTCAATCCTGGTATGGAGACGAGACTTGAGCCAGTCTCCCCACACAGATGGAATGAGCAAGCCATGCTCTGCCGAACTGGGGCATACCTCCTCTGGCCCGAAAATATTCACGCAAAAGACGTTGATTGACGTATGTCACGAGACATTGACAAGTTCTGAATCTTCTGGTACTTTGCTGTCAAGATGGAACACGGTTCAGGCTCTCGGGACCAGGGTTCAAGCGCCATCGCTCATATATGCTGGCATTACAGACAAACTCAAAGAGATCTGTCAGAATTTGCTGAATAATCGTCAAGAAGACGCCCAAAAGGGTCGCCTTAGCCATATTGCCAGGAGGGCCCTCAAGATGTGGACAAAGGGGGCCATATCTGTGTCATTTGCGCACAAAGACCAGTTTCTTGACTGTGGGCTTGACGATTGCTTTTCTATAAGCAAAGTTGACAACGACAATGAAATCTTCGAACTGGTTACCAGCTCTTTTGGTACTGCTGACATCATGAGAAATACCGATAATAATGCATTACTCGAAGTGAGCACGTAAGTAACCCCAAAAGGCAGCATCCGAGCAATTGTACTGGTCCCGTGACCTAAATATAATACAGAGCTGTCGAGGCGATCCTTCATCATACCAGTCTCATGGAAGACAACAACCCCTTCCGGGCAATCCAGACCGAGTACTTAGCGCGGGGCTCTGAAACGAAGACCCCGTTACCTGAGCGCATCAGGCATGAGATATTCACGGCATCCACCGAGACACTCTACCTAATCAGACTTGAGGCTGATGCTCAGATTGATCGCCACTTGGCACTCGGTATCGACATCGATACTCAGTGGATTTCCATCTCCGATTCCATGCGGCGAATAGTTCTCAACCGTTTCCTCGACCAACCGATCCTCCCCCACACTGATCTTTGTGCTTGGATTGATGAACACGGACCAGAAGTGTCTACTTCGAATTCTTATGCTAAATTCTGGCTTAACGTCAAGCAGCAGGTCCGCAAGGTCTTGAGTCGAAAAGTGGACAATCCTCAACCGCTAAGGTTGCTGAGAAACTCAAAACAGGCTTCCGGCCTGTTGACTGGGAAGCAGGGCCTGTCAAAAAGCGAGTGGCTATACTGCAAGGCGACGAGCGGAATATATGAATGCTTCAAGCTTCTAGCGATTGTCTGTAGCGGAAGCTCTGGGGCAGAGAGAGAGATCTGGTATCGCTTCTCCCACTGGAATCTCTGTTGCACGTCGATGGCGGCCACTTGGAAGCTCACACGAAGCATGCGAAACTGGTGGATATCAGTGATTCTTGGGTATGACGACCCGTCAGGTGGCTTGCTATCTCGATTGTTGCAATCTTTACAGCTGGTTTCCCTTCCATGGAGACCCAAGGCCATATCTACCACCCCTCAGACGAGGCAAATCCGTAACAATCTATGGAGCCAATGGTGTGGCTTCAACACGTGGAAAGGAGAGACACCCACCAGCGCAGTCGCCGCTTGCCACCCTGATGAGCTGATTCTTAGGAAGGAGCCGTTGCTCCAGGATTACTGGCGTCATCGCGATCATGGGCGTATCCCAGAAGCGCGCGAAGCTCTCACCGCGGACATCGACCGCATCATGACAGTCATCGGCCTTCCAGAAGATGTATCTGATGTATGCCCGCTGGCTCTCGGCTTCTCGAGCCTCTATAAGATGGGTCTGACCAACGAAACATTGCACGCAAAGAAAGGTGTTCAGAAAAGCGACCAAGGCTCGTTTCCCGACAACATCCCAGTCATCGTCACCGATATGGGCTGCTGGCCCGAGGCTCCTGGCGGTGTTTCGAACTGCCGTCGTGACCTGGTGAATGGGCACTCGACAATCGACAATCACGTTGTTGCTGAGTGTAACAATGAGTATGGTGTCCTGCGTTACCCAGTGAAGAAAAGCGTACGGTCTCTCAAGCGGCTACCGCTATGGGGTCTAGACTCAGTGACGGCCGATCATGGGATCATCAACAACCTATCGCAGTCTCAGGTGGACGATAAATCTGCTGACACGCATCTCGCGCGGGATGTACAGGGCTATTTTGTCCCATTACTAAGGACATTCGTTCGTCATGCCCGATGCAAAATTCCCTCTCGGGCCAGCATGACAGAGTGCCGAGACGTCCTCGTTTCCATGTCGGAATATTTCGAGCGCAAAGATTACGCCAAAACTTGGGACTCGGAGCAGACGGAACAGGCCTGGATCGAAGCTTGGATACAGCCGCTGGACCCTTCCAGATATACCAACTATTGCGGCAAAGCCAGCGAGATTTCCTTGGAGAGCCCTAGCCTCTCCGATTTGCGCGAAGCGCTAGCGTCCTACAGGACTCTCTTCTTCATCCTCTCCGTTACCATACCACAAGATGGTGATGCATGTCCCCGGGTCTTTCAAGCATCACACCACGGCTTTGGTAGCATGCTAGGTCTCGTCCTCAAGTACCGCCGTGGAGTCAATTTGGCCGTCTGGGACCATGCCATCCTTTGGCGAGAATCTCTCCTACATTTGAGCCCGGCACAGAGCCATCTTCCTTTGTTTGTTCAGTCCGCGATGCTGGCTGGCATGCGACTGGTGGGCCAACTGGCTTACTTCCACGCTGACGTGGTCATGCCATGTACATCCACCTTCAATCCTCTGTGGGAGACAGAAATTGGTACAGATCAAGGCCGACTAACCAGTCGGCAACTGTTCCACCGCAAGATCGAGCCAGTAGTGAACGGCATCGGTAACATGGCTGCCTTCAAGCCTACTCCGCCCCAGGAAGTACAGACAACGAGACCGACAGTGGTAATGCTGTCTCACGTGCAGCCCATCAAAGGCATACGGCCAGCTATCGAGGCAGCGGACGTGATTGTCAACACTTGGGGATTTCGAGACTACCAGCTACTGATATACGGCGCCATCGACCAACCGGGTGAATATCAAGTGCTGACCTCCTCCGTCAACGACCAACAGTCCGGCTACGCATGGGAGATTTCGCGCCTAATCGTTCAGAGGGGACTCGGTGATAATGTTCATCTAAAGGGACTAAGCAGTGACGCCACAAAGGCTCTTAAAAACGCATGGATCTTCATGAACTCCTCCCTTAGCGAGGGTCTGCCTCTCGCTGTCGGCGAGGCCGGTTTGACAGGCGTGCCACTTGTGGTGACCGACGTGGGTTCAACGGCACAGGTGTTGACCGACCCCGAAACGAAACAACGGTATGGAGAGGTGGTCCCGCCGAATGATCCTCTTTCCCTAGCAAGAGCGCAAGTCTCGATTCTGGCAATGGTGGGAACATGGACAAAGTTTACGGCAGAGGATACTGGCAAGATGGAGCATATGCTGACATATCACATCACCGCTCGAGATACGGAATACTTGGCAAGGCGAATGGTGGAACACGCAGAAGACCGGCGAAGGCTAGGCTTGCTTGGCCGTCAAGTCATTAGGAAGCGTTTCGACGGAAAGAGGTATCTAAGGGAACACGAACAGATGTATTGGGTGCAATGGCACTTGGATAGAACGCGAAACGCGTCGTCTCCAGTGCAACCACACACGAACGGACGATTTCCCTCCTGGAGAAATGTCAGCATGATACCTCTATCCAGGGGAATCCCAATGTAGTTAAAAACATGGTAGCATCGGAAATGACAGTCATGCGGATGGCATCTTTCATCGCTCACCTGTTACACCAGGCTCACGTGCCTCAACGTGAACTCGCCTCTTGCCAACCTAGCCATGGCTTCTCCTTTCATCAACCCCTCAACGTAGCATTGTGAAATGACTTGGTAAGCGCCAACCTCCTCGGCAGGTCTGAGAACAACGAGCCCATCGCACCCCAGTATGACGAAGATGGCATCACCAGGAAGTACGGGACGAATCGTTGTACCAAAGCGGCCGGCCTCTGTGGTAATAATTGGATACACCACTCCGACGTGCTTATCGAGTGACTGAACAAAGGCATTGGGCTGCCTACACTGGGGCAATGTTTCGTTGTCCTCCACATCGACATTGTTGAAAAAAGACCTGAATCTCCGACCCCATGGCTGAAAGTACTCGTCAAGCCGTGTGCACAGCTTCACCAGGTCCGCATATTTGGCATGCTGCAGGACAGGCCCCCAGCCGCGCTGTCGCATCGCCTCGGTGCGCGACGTCGAGACCTCGGGCGACGATCCCAGCCAGGGAATATCAAGAACGGTGGTACCTGTGTCGCAGTCCCAGCTCGTGTCCCTGTGAAGCGTGCGCACGATTGCGGTCTTGAAATCGTCGGGAATGGTGTCGGCACCCGCGGACGAGGGCTGCACGGCGGGGTTCCACACCTCAAGCTCGCCGCTTTTGCCCCAGCCCAGGTGGGGTGCCGTTCCGTCTATCACGTCAACCTGGAATCCTGCGGCCACGAGATGAAGACCGTGGTGTTCGACGCGGAAGATAGGCCGATGGCCTCCGCTGGCTTCGCAGTCGGTACCCCAGAGGGATGGGTCCCACGTGTCGGTGAGGTCAGGGACCCATGAAGGGATGTTGAGGCCAGTATTAGAAAGCCCGGCGAGCGAGAAGTTGAAGTGACCAAGTCCAATGATGAGGGCGTGGGCGAATTCGGAAAAGACTTGCCGGACAGGCTTGTTATAGTCTGGTTCGATATACCTGGCGATGTATTCAGGCATCATGCCCATCAGCCCGTACAGCTTGTCGCGCAGGTCTACAGCCCCTCCAAGGCGGCCCAACATGAGAAGCAAGGTCAACATCTCGACGTCGCCTTCGTTGCGGCTCAGATCCGTATCTTGCTTCCCTTCGCTTGTCCACGACTCCTGTCGACGTTCCTGTACCAGCAACATGAGCTCGACTAGCTTCAAAATGCGCCAGGTGCTTGCGCGTGTGGGTACGGAGAGCCGCAGGCTATGAGAACGATGTGCCTGCTCGAGGAAGTTGTGCAGCGATAGGAGAGGGAACCTCAGGGGACCGAATAGGATGTGAGGGTTAAACGGGCCGAGGCACTTTTCCTGTATGACCCAGACACGGGACCAGTAGGGCGCCTGGACGAGCACGTCGATGGCATTTACGGCGAGCTTTGTCCGGGCCTGCTTGTCGTCATCCTCGCAGAACAGGTCTTCCATGGCCGCGGTGGCACTCTTATCGTTGGTGGATCTGAGGATATAGTCGCTTATCAGCTCGAGTCCGGCGCGCTGCTCCTCAAGCACGTTGCCCAGCCAAATGGTGACTATCAAGGCGTCGCCAAAAATGGTGCCCATACGTTTGACTTGGCTGTTTCGGTCGGCAATATCCAGCTGATTGATACAGATTGCGTCAACCCACAA